GAGTGGGCACTGTCGGAGGGTCATTGCCGAGGGAGCACCGCACTGTCGGAGGGTCAGCGCCGAGGGAGCGCCACACTGTTGGAGGGTCGACGCTGAGGAAACGCTGAATTGTCGGCTTGGTCATCTTTCAGGTGAGGCATTAAAAGAAGGCCCCTGCCTATCCTTTGGGTGGATGTAAAAAAATCCACTGACACAACCAATAGTTGGCTCTGGGGTTTCTGTTCTCCCTATAGGCTTGGAGTGAATTTCCCTTCATAAATCAACATCGCAACATGGAGGAGACAAAATGGGTTGAAACAATTTGCAGTTTGCGGGATCTTGCTGTGTGCATTTTGTTCTTATTTCCTACTGCGGTAACTATACATGGGACTTATTTGGCCATAAATGGTTTCATGGTTTCCTGAAATCATCAAAGGCGCTACATAAATGCAATTTCTTTCTTTCAAGCGCTGGGGAGCTCTGAGGTTGGTGGGCTCACCAGTTTCAATGGTCTGTGCAAACATCTCAAGACCCTCGAGTGGCTGTGTGGGTTCCTCCGGCTCTTCAGCCTGTTCTTTCAGGCACTCCTTGGCGAGCTGCATGCTGGTAGTCATACACGACGACCAGCTGGGAGACTCGGTCCCTGGGACTGCAGGGCAAGAGAGTCAGTGTTAGCTGGGACAGTGTTAGAACGCGCAGCTGAAGGGAAGATCCTGCAGATACTGGATGCCCTGCAAAGAACAGTGGTGGGGGGAACAGGCCGTTCGGCCCAGCACATCTACATTGTTGTCCCTAATGCATACAAGCCTCTTCAACAGCTCATCCCATCAACATATACAGTCATACAGCACGTAAACAGACCCTTCAGCCCAATCAGTCCGTGCCGACCATAATCCCAAACTAAACTAGTCCCACCTGCCTGCTCCTGGCCCATATCCCTCCAAACCTTTCCCTATTCATGTACTTATCCAAACGTCTTTTAAATGCTGTAACTGTACCCACATCCACCACTTCCTCAGGAAGTTCATTCCACACACAAACCACCCTCTGTATAAAAATTTGTCCCTCGTGTCTTTTTTAAATCTCTCTCCTCTCACCTTAAAAATGTGCCCCCTAGTCTTGAGCTCCCCCATCCGAGGGAAAAGACACCTACCATTAACCCTGTCTATACCCCTCATTATTTTATAAACCTCTATAAGATCAGCCCTCAACATCCCCCACTCCAGTGAAAAATGTCCCAGCCCAATCCAGCCTTTCTTTATAATTCAAACCTGTCCTGCTAATCCAAATTTGTGGATGCTTAACTCAGGATAGATTGGACAGACCTGGCCTCTCTTCTCTTGGAAGAAGGCAGCTGCGGAGTGACCTAATACAGTTTGTTTAAAATTCAGAAGGGTTGTGGTACAGCGAACACAGTGACAATGTCTTGCTCTGTAGGGAAGAGCATAGCTCACGGCCATCGATACAAGGCAGCCCTCAAGAAATCCAATAAAGACTTTGGGAGAAATTTGTGCACCCAGCAAGTGGGCAGAATGTGGAACTCACTGACAAAGGGGTGGGGGCCCAGCATATGGATACATTTCAGGGGAAGGACTTTCTGTAATAACCTTTAATGAGACACCTTATTGAATGCCTTCTGGAACTCGAAGGAGAGTACATCCACGTGTTCCCCTTTATCCACAAGGGAACTCTGTATTCCAGCAAATTCTCACTCTGACATCACACAGTCAAAGGTATTAAAATGGAGGGGGGTGGGGGGCACTCCAGGAAATAGTTTGCTCTGTGTTGCCCTAACCCATTCCCCCCCCACTCAACATTCCAGTTCTCAGTCCTTGGCCTAACCTATTGGCAGGCGACTGGGCTCTGATTGACTCATCGGCTCTCGGGCATCAGCATTATCCAACCTTCCCTGTTAAAAATAAACATGAAGCCAACCCCATTTCTCCAAAGACAGGGCAAGAGCCCATTATATTTCCTTTCATGGGACGTCAGCATCACACGCTTGGACAACCTGTGTTTCCTGTCTAACTGCCCTCAAACATATTGACTATTTCAGAGGGCAGTTAGTCATCAACACCATCGCTGCAAATCTAGAGTCACATGCAGGCCCAGACCATATAAAGATGGCAGATTTCCCTCCCTAAAGGGGCATCAGTGAATCAGATTTTTTTTTTACAAAAATGAACGGGTGAGCCCTGATTCCGAGGGGGCTGCATGGTGGCACAGTGGTTAGCACTGCTACCTCACAGCACCAGGGACCTGGGTTCGATTCCAGCCTCGGGCAAATGTCTGTGTGGAGTTTGCACATTCTGCCCCGTGTCTGTGTGGGTTTCCTGTGGTTTCCTCCCACACTCCAGGGATGTGCAGGTTAGGGTGGATTGGCCATGCTAAGTAGCATCCAGGGATGTGCAGGCTAGGTGGGTTAGCCGTGGGAAATGCAGCGTTACAGGGACAGGGTGCAGGGTGTGTCTGGGTGGGATGCTCTTCAGAGGGTCGGTACTGACTTGATGGGATGAATGGCCTGTTCTGCACTACAGGGATTCTACGATTCAGTTCTATCATGAGTTTCTCACAGCCACCATCACTGAAACTAGCTTTATAATCTAAGTTTATTAAATAATTGACTAAATTCCACCAAATTTTCCATGATGGGATTTGAAGCCCTATCCCCTGGACATTAGCCTGGATTATTAGTCCAGAGATATCAGCACTCTGCCACCATCGGCCCTTAGCAGCGGGTGACCGGGAGTCACCACCTCAGGCAAGTGGAGGCTCTCTGGCCTCTATTCGCCCTACTGAACCCCACACCATTTGTTTCTGTCATTGTCTCAGGCTGCGACTCACCAAAGTGGTACTTGGGCCTGCATGTCACCTGCAGACCTGTCACCTCCACGGTGCAGTTCTCCGTAATCAGAGCCGACCAGGGGATGATCACCGAGATGCTGCTGATGAAGCCATCTGTAATCTCCAGCGGCGCCCCCACCGAGTCCAGGAATTCATTCAGAGACTGTGGAGCAAAGGGAAGCCTTGTCACAGCACTGCCACCACAAGTCACCTTTGCAAGGTCAGCATACCATTCTTACCAATTTTTAAAGATGCACCGTAGAAAGCACTCCACCTGACGCATCACATTGTGCTTTGGCAACTGCTCTAGCCAAGGCCGGAAGAAACTACAGAGAGTTCTGAACACAGCCCAGTCCATCACACAAACCAGCCTCCCATCCACCGACTCCATCTACACTTCCCCCTGCCTCAGGAAGGCAGCCAACATCATCAAAGACCCCTCCCATCTCGGCTGTACTCTCCTCCACCCTCTTCCATCGGGCAGAAGAAACAAAAGTTTGTACACATGTGCAAATAGATTCAAGAACAGCTTCTGCCCCACTGTTATTATACTTCTGAATGGATCTCCCAAATTTTTAAATTTAATGTTATTCTTGCTGTTTGCACACATTCTCTGCAGCTATAACATTGTATTCTTCATTCTGTTCTATTACTGCAATGCACTTTGTACAGAATGATCTGCCTGTACTACACACAAAACAAAACTTTTCACTATACCTAGGTTCATGGGACAATAATAGATCAAATTAAATCAAAATACAATATCCTCACAGCAGTATGTCAGAGAAGCAGAACCATATGATATTCTACACCAGGCCACTCAAGGAGACAAAGGTGACCAAAAGCCCACTTATGAGGATTGTCTTTGAGGGGAGAGAGAGAGAGAGAAGAGAGAGAAAAATACAGACAGAGAATAGAGGGAGAGAGAAAGAGAGAGAGAGAGAGAGAAAGAGTAAAACAGCATGAAGAGAAAAAAAGAGATAAAGAGAATAGAAAGTGAGAATAGAGTGAAGGAGAGTGAGTGGAAATGGATTAGAGAGACAGAATAGTGGAGAGACAGGACAGAGGAGGAGAGAAACAGTGAGAAGACAGAAACATGGACAGAAGATAGAAAGAGACAGAGAAGAGAGTAGAAAGAGCGAGATAAGATAGTGACAGAGTAGGCAGAAAGAGAGCGAGGGCAGTGGGGACAGAGTGGATTGAAAAATAACTCCAGAGTCTAGGGCCTCAAGCAACTGAAGACACAGTCACCAATGGCGCAGCAATTTAAATCAGGGATAGGCAAAAGATTTAAACAGGAGGAGCATAGAGATCACAGAGGACTGTGGGCTGCAGGAGATTACAGAGATAGGGATGGGGTGTGGGGGGGTTGGGCTCCATGGAAGGCTTTGAACTCGAGGATGCTTAGTCCAGCAAAATCAGCCTTGTTGAATGCTGATTGTTGAAGGAGATATTATAATCAATTGTCATTCAGGAATAAACACTGAACAGCCCTTCCTCCTTTGTCAACGCACCCTTCCCCAGAGGCTGCCTGTCCACCTACAAGGAGTATCGCTGCCAGTTGGACTGTGTTCCCATCTTCCAGAGGAGCTCACCAATTGGTGGTCAGGAGCTGGTGAAATGCTGTTCCTCCACCTCCTCCCCACTGTGTGTAGGAATGACGGACAGAGAGGGGTGCAGAGGGAAGTTCACTGCTGGGGTGGCGGATCAGTGCAGTGGGAACAGACAGCCAAGGCTGGGCACTTGGAACTGGGGACACAAGTTCAGAGTAAGGGGTCCGCCATTTGGGACGGAGAATGAGCAGGAATTACTTCACTCAGAGAGGGGTGAATCTAGCCTCCGAGAGTACATTCAAGTGAGAGAGCAACAGCTTTCTAGATATTAACATTATCAAAGGATACAGTGATTGTGTGGTAAATGGCACTGAGGCAGATCTGCCATGATCTAGTTGAATTGTGTAGTAGTTTTGAGGGGCCAAATGGCCTACTCCTACTCCTGTTTTCTCTCATACCTTCACAAGCTCAACAGGTCTCCCAATAGCTTCCCTGACTACAATCAGCCAACTCAGCAGAGGGTAGAAACCCTAACCCTGGGAGACAGGCTGGGCTGTGGGGTTGCTTTACTGCTCAAACAAAGAAGGCACAACGGTGGCCACTCAGCCCTTCAAACCTGCTCTCAATAAGACTGACCTGGTTTTAACCTCAATACTTATATTCCTGCAAATCTCCCGATAATCTTTCATCCCATTGGTAATCAAGAATCTATCCACCTCAGCCTTCAAAATATTTAATGATTCTGCACCCACTGCTTTTTTCAGAAAGGGAATTCCAAAGATTCTCAGCCCTCAGAGAAAACAGGGTTTCCTCAATTGTCTTAAATGGATGACCACTTATTTTTAAGCCATGACACTCAGAAGAGGAAATATCCTTTCAACATCCACCTGGTCACGTCCCCTCAGGATCTTACATGTTTCAATTAATGAATCACCTCTGATTCTTCTCCAGAATATAGAGTCATACAGCATGGAAATAGACCCTTCAGTCCACACAGAGAATAATCCCAAACTAAACCAGTCTCATCTGCCAGTGCTTGGCCCATATCCCTCCAACATTTCTTATTCGTGTACTTATCTAAATGCCTTTTAAATGTTGTAACTGCACCCACATTCACCACTTCCTCTGGCAGTTCATTCCGCGCATGAACCATTTTCTATGTAAAAAAAAAATTGCCTCTCCTTTTTTTTTGATCACCTTGAAAATATGCCCCCTATTCTTGAAATCTCCAACCCTGGGAAAAGACAGCTGCCATTCACCTTAACTCAGGTCTTATAGAGGAAACAGTTATGCAAAGGCTTGAACACACACAAGATCCAGCCTAAACTTTGGGTCAGGTACTTTCTGATCATTAAAGGGAGCAAAGTTAGAAGAAACACACCACCTTATTAACTGCATATTCACCGGGATCAAGCTCACCAGGGAAGAGGAGAACAGCAATCAACTCCTGTTTCTGGATGTAATGGTAGAACAAACGAACAATGGTGAATTCCTTACTAGCATATACAAAAAGACTACACAACACAGACCAAATCCTGAATTACAATAGTAACCACCCCAGGGTCTACAAACAGAGCTGTGTCAAGACTCTGTTCACCCAAGCAATAACCCACTGCAACACCCTGGAGCTGCGCAAAAACAAAAACAAACAAACCTATACAAAGTCTTTGCAAACAATGGGTATCCCAACAGCTTCATCTGCCGATGCTTGGCAATTAAACAACACCAAGAAGACACTGTACGCCCCAACACACTGGCCACCCTACCCTATATGAGAAACACATCAGAACTGACTACAAGACTCCTACGGCCTCTTGGAATAATGATAGCACGAACCAACAGCCACGCTTCGCCAGTTCCTCTCAAAGACGAAAGACCCCATGCTCACAGTGAGCAGAACAAATGCGACATACAAAATACCCTGCAGCAACTGCGAGAAACACTACATAGGACAGACAGGCAGGAAACCCGTCACCAGGATACATGAACACCAACTCGCAGCAAATGTCACGGCCAACTTTCCCTCGTTTCAATACACTCTGACATAGAAGGACATCAGTTTAACTGGGACAACGTTAACAGTACTAGGACAAGCAAAACCAAGACAAGCACAAGAATTCCTGGAAGCCTAGTTTTCAACCACTGGTACCATAAACAGACATGTTGAGATAGACCCCATCTGCACACCACTACGGGGCAAATCCAGAAACAGAACTACCCACTATAGCAGACTGGACCATATAAATTCAGAGTGGAACAGAACAACAGTGCTTCAATTGAGGCTAGACAGCACTGAAGATGTTACCTAGAAAACCAGTCAGCTCAGCGAACCAACCAACATCTCCATTCACCTTAACAATACACGTCATGATTTTATAAACTTCTTTAAGGTCATTCCTCAACCTCATATGCTCCAGAGAAAGAAGGCCCAGCCTATCCAGCCTCTCCCTATAACTCAAACTCTCCAGTCCCAGAAACATCCCTGTAAATCTTCTCTGAAACCTCTGCAACTTAATAATATCCTTCCAATAACAGGGTGACCAGAACTGGACACAGTCCAGTAGAAGAGGCCTCACCAACGTCCTGTACAACCTCAACATGAAGTACCAACTCCTATACTCAAAGGTCTGAGTAATGAAGGCAAGCGTGCTAAATGCCTTAACTATCCAATGTATATGTGATGCTAAGAATTGTGTACAACATTACTAAAGGCCCTATTTTTAATTGTATAAGTCCTGCCTTTGTGTTTTACCAAAATGTATTATGCCCCATTTATCCAAATTAAACTCCACTGACCACTCTTCAGCCCGCTATCGTCAGAGAATTGACAAAGGAAACAGTCCTAGCCTGTGTAACTGTTCCTCAAAAGGCAATCAGTTCATTCCAGGTCAGTTACCAACCAAGTTTTTTTGGGAGATGGAGTTGAGTGACTGCGCTCAGCCAAAAAAACAAAGTTCAGGAAGGGGCAACAAATAAGCAAGAGTACAGTAAATAAATCTGGACTATTACTGTAGGTTAGGAGCGAGGATTAAGGAACAGGTTCAAACTTGGAATGACAGAACTGAGGGAATCCAAGCTTTAGAACTGGTCTCTGGCCTTTCTCACCCACTCGGGGGACAGGAGGGTGAATGGTTGCGGGAAACTATGCACCACCATCATTCCTAAAGATTTCACTTCCTCAAATGCTCAGGAGTTGATGTGAATGCATCAATGAGGCACATGACCCACAGGGCTGACAGTTCATGATTGGAGAATGGGAGTAAACATCACGCTAAGTGCTTGGTCAAGGCCGTGCAGGAGGGGATGGTAGGGTGGCAGTGCAAACGCTCAAACAAACAGCACATGACACTACAGACACAGTTTGAGACAGCCTGCTGGGGACATCAGGACTGTCAGCACCTGACAGGACAAAAGCAAAAACAAGCTCAGGTTACTGATCCACCCACAGTGTCACTGAGGCAGTGACCCTGGACAACAAACTGAGAAACAGGAAGACTTCCACTTAGCCTGCGATTTCCACAATCTCAGGACATTCCAAAGCACCAGGCAGTCAATCCGGTCATGAGCCAATTATTTGTTTTTAGTCAGGTTTGTTTTTTGAGGGGTCCCA